AGCACTGCTAGTGAAGTGGAAATTAGGGTGATCATCTAAGCATGGGTAATAGGAGACATGAAAAGCTCCTAGCAGGTGGTAGCAAAACTAGGGTAAGCTGAACTGGAGGAAGATTTTAGTATATCTTAGTGCTTCCTCTGATAACTATTAGGGAATGAAGGAAATTCAAGCTTGATAGTCCACCAGTGTAGTAGGTAGAATATAAGTATGGGGGAGGAACCGGGAGAAAAGCATAAGAGAAAGCATAAATGCAGGAAAAGGGGGAGGAATGCGCCAAGGAGCAGAAAAAGTCAAAGAAGAATGGTAGGGATTTGGGAAAGGAGGGGGTGGGGGATGGATAGGGGAAGAGTCTCTCCTGGACTGACAACAGTCAGTTGAAGGACCTGACATTTATGGCATGCCATAGACGATTTGATTTTGTTTACTGCATCCACAGGTTGCAGGAAAGAAAATCACTTGATTCCCCCATTAACACAGTCAGTGCTGATGTAGGAATCCCTCCCACAAAGCTATTATGTACTCCCGCCGAGGGCAGGAGGGGTGCACAGGGAACCCTCCTTGCCAGGAGAACACAGTGCTTATTGCTAGCAGGTATAGCTGCTGGCAATAATCGCATGTAAACATCCTACATGCTGCTTGTATCCAAGTCATGCAACAATCGAACTGGGCACAATCAGCCTGTCCATAATTGGTTCATCTCTCGTCCAGTCTCTGCTGAACCGGCAAAGATTTGAACCATTTATGGCCGGCTTAGGTGCCGTCCCCTTTTCTGAGAAAGAGAAATGCACACTTTGAAATTAATACATATTTGCACTATATTGCCAAAAGTATTGGGACATCTACCTTTACACGCACATGAAATTTAATGGCATCCCAGTCTTAGTCCGCAGGGTTCAATATTGAGTTGACCCACCTTGCAGCTCTAACAGCTTCAACTCTTCTGGGAAGGCTGTCCACAAGATTTAGGACCGTGTCTATGGGAGTGTTTGACCATTCTTCCAGAAGTGCATTTGTGAGGTCAGACCTGGCAAGAACAAGGACAAGAAGACCTGGCCTGCAGTCTCCACTATAATTCATCACATCAAAGGTGTTCTGTCTGGTTGAGGTGAGGACTGTGTGCAGGCCAGTCAAGTTCCTCCACCCCAAACTCACTCATCCATGTCTTTATGGACCTTGCTTTATGCACTGGTGTGCAGCCATGTTCTTACAAAGTTGGGAGCATGAAATTGTCAAAAATGTCTTGGTATGCTGATGCCTTAAGAGTTCCCTTCACTGGAACTAATGGGCCAAGCCCAACCCCTGAAAAACAACCCCACACCATAGTCTCCCCTCCACCAAATTTTACACTTGGCATAATGCAGTCAGGCAAACCCAGACATGCCATCAGATTGCCAGACAGAGAAGCATGATTCGTTACTCCAGAGAACACATCTCCACTGCTCTAGAGTGCAGTGGCGGTGTGCTTTACACCACTGCATGTGACACTTTGCATTGCACTTGGTGATGTAAGGCTTGGATGCAGCTGCTCAACCATAGAAACCCATTCCATGAAGCTCTCTCTATGCACTGTTGTGCTGATCTGAAGGCCACATGGAGTTTGGAGGTCTTTAGCTATTGACTCTGCAGAGAGTTGGCGATTTCTTCGCACTGTGCGCTTCAGCATGCTCTGACCCCACTCTGTCATTTTGCGTGGCCTACCACTTCGTGGCTGAGTTGCTGTTGTTCCTAGTTGCTTCCACTTTGTTATAATACCACTAACAGTTGACAGTGGAGTATTTACGGATGGACTTATTGCACAAGTGGCAACCTATCACAGTGCCACGCTTGAATTCACTGAGCTCCTGACAGCGACCCATTCTTTCACAAATGTTTGTAGAAGCAGTGCGCATGCCTAGGTTCCTTATTTTATACACCTGTGGCCATGGAGGTGATTGGAACGCCTGAATCCAATGATTTGGAGGGGTGTCCCAATATTGTTGGCAATATAGTGTGTGTGTATGTATGTGTGTGTATATATGTGTGTGTGTGTGTATGTATGTGTATGGAGGGGTGTCCCAATACTGTTGGCAATATAGTGTGTGTGTGTATGTATGTGTGTGTGTGTATATATATATATATATATATATATTTATTTATTTACAGGTACTTATATAACGCCGTCAATTTACACGGCGCTTTACATATATATTGTCTTATTTATTTATTAATTTCAGATACTTGTATAGCGCCGTCAATTTGCGCAGCGCTTTTATATATATATATATATATATATATATATATATATATATATATTTTTATTGTACATTCACATCAGTCCCTAACCCTCAAGGGGCGTACAATATATATATATATATATATATATATATATATATATAAATATAATAAGACTATATTTCACCCTTGAAAAGAGAATGTGTATCTGTTAATTTCTAGTTGTTTTAGACAGCAATTGCATTTGCATTTATATTTTATTTAAATAGACATTCAGAATTCAAGATATATTTTGCGTCCATTAGTAACATTATCAGAGGTTTACAACATCATGATTGACACATTTCCTTGATTATAAGGTGTATTTCCTGCATTGTAGCAATGGGATTTGTCAATAAATATTTGTAGTAAATACATTTATTCATTAAACGCTTGTTTTTCCTCAGTACCCTCTGCATCTTTTGCTTAGAGTGTTTTCTCTTCCTGTTTCAGTAATTACAAACATCTGGTTGTTGAATATGCTTGATTGAGTTTTATTCTTGCAGGCTTCTCCGCAAACTGTCATGTCTGTTATTTGGGTATAGAGTCACAATTTGTTTCAGAGTTTAATGTAATGGGAAAAATGTAGAATTCCCATCTCATTTTTAAAGCTGAACTCCAGGAAACTAAAATAATTAATTTCCTTACAGCAGGGCAACGCTATGCTGCAACTGATGCATGTGTAAGCCTAAGGTGCCTTTTTACTTACCTTATCCCTTGCTTCCATGTGCTCCTTCTTCCACTTGAATGGTCCCCTGAAGCCTGAACGTTGGCCTGGTCCTGGCACCATAATTATTCAGAGGTCCTTGCCCCCAATGTTTGCATTTCTGCCAGCCTGGAGGATTCCCATTCTGGGGTATTTGGACAATCTGCTCCCGCGGGAACATTCGGTGTTCCTTTACCAAGAAACGCTTTGAAACTTTTCGATCCAAGGTACTGAAGTTACATTCCCTGGAGCAACCCCATTATTCTCCATTGCTTTAAGATGCTAGGTTTGATAGTCTTCCATCAAGACTGTTGCAGTTCTACATACTGACAACATTGGACACATGGGCTCTGTCCTTGGATCAACCCATGCATCTAAGCAACAAGCCAAGTTACCCTTGGATGGATGGCCTGGCTCCAGTGGGGGAGCCAGAGGTAGACCTACTGTCATTAAGAATCAACCACAAACTGGACAGGTTCATGTCCAGGGATTCTTGGGCCTTCGGAAACCCTAGTCACTCCTTGAATGCTGTTCAGTCTGATTTATATTTTCCTCTCTCTCAAACTCCTAGCACATTTGCTTTGGAGGATAGAGAGAGAAGGCATACCAGTTAGTCCAACTCCCAGCATACTGTCCATGGGTCCTAGTAGATCATCTGGACCTTTTTTCTCAAAGTTCCGTGTTCATCCTGCTTCAAGTTCGCTGGCATGGACAGCTTGGCTGTTTAAAGCCCAAGTACTGTGGGACAGGGGTCTTTTGGATCCTGTGTTTCCTACCTTACTAAAGACCAGAAAGCCCTCTTCCTGTAAAGTTTACCACCTCTCATGGAAAGTTTATGTTGCTTGGTGTATAAAGCGGAAGCTTCATCCCAGGAAGTGCTCCATGGGAGGAGTTTGGATTGGAAAAGTCCTTGGCCATAAGGTTTATTAAAGTTTAGGTTTCTGCCTTGGTGGTATTCTTTGTAGAGACTGTTCCCATTCTTTGGTCATAGCTTTTGTACAGGGGGTGGCTCACAATTTACCACTAGTATTCCTCCCCATTGACTCTGTAGGACCTGGTCTGGCATTGTCATTTTTTCAGAGGCCACCATTGTAACCTTTTTGGGGCATTTCTCTTTCTCTTCTTTCCCTCAAGTCTGACTTTTTTGTGACTATCAATTTGATTAGGAGGGTTCCTGAACTTGCGGCTTTATCCTGTAATAAACGGTTACTTTTATTTCATAAGAACACGGTTGTTTTGAGACCTTGCAATTCCATTCTACCTATGGTGGTCACTACATTAATTTAAATCAGAGTGGAGTGGTGCCTTCCTTTTATCAGGCTCCTAAACATCCTAAAGAAATTGCTTTCCACTGCCTGGATGTACTTAGGATTGTGCGAGTCCATGTCGCAGCCACAGCCTCAGTTTGTCAATCTGACAGTGTGTTGCCTTAGGGCTTCCGGAAGGGACAGGCTGCCTCTCAACCCACAATTGCTAGGTGGATTCAAATAACTGCGCAGACATACAACCTGAGGGGGAAGCTTATCGCCTTTGCTGTCAAGACTCACTCCACCAGATTTGTTGGTGCTTCATAGGATTTTCAGAATCAGGCCTTCCCAGGTCTAGAAAGCTGCCACCTGGTCTTCTGTGCACAAGTTTGCCAAATTTTGCCAGGTGTGTATTCAGGCCTCAGCAGTCCTCTAGGTAGTCCTGTTTCCGTTTTAGCAGGCAGGGCAACCAGATATAGAATATGAATGTCTCTAGATCAGTAAGCTGTATTCCTGTTGCTGAAATTTTTTGGAAGGTAACACATAGTAACCGAAATCCATGGTACATTTTTCTCACATGATTCAGACAGGATTGCCCTTTTTGTAAGGCTGATTTCGATAATTTCTGCAGTAATTTGCTGTATTTTGACATAGGACCTAAACTGATAATGCAATTTATAGTATCTTATGTATGGCTATTTATGATGTCATGTTAATAAATATTGTTTCCTTTGCTACAGGTAATTCTCCAGCTGACTCGGTGTGTGGGGGAAAACCTTCCAGTTGCGAAAAGCATCATGGCTGAGCCAGACTATATTGAATCAGATAATCCAGAATTAATAAAGCCTCACAAGTTGATCAATCCAGTGAAGACCTCCAGAAATCATCAGGATCTCCATCGAGAATTATTAATGAACCAAAAAAGGTATGATTTTGGTATTGTTTCATTCATACAGGACAAAGCTAAAACAAGTCCTTCAATAGGCTTTTCATGATCTGTGGTCATACTATTCATGCAGTTCATTCTAATTAGTCATTCTCTGGGTTTTGTGTTCACAGAGCTTATTTGCCAACCTCACCTTTATCTGATACTACCTTTACTTACCAGCTGTTACTTCTGAGGTGACTGCAATGTCATGTACACATTGATATTTTGCTGACTGATGGAAACTCTTTGCAGGAAAATGTCAGTGAACACTGTTTTTAGATGTCATGAATGAACACTTTATGAAAAAAAAAAAAAAACACACAAATGGATGTTGTAAGATGCTCATGTTTCTGCATTGCTGCATTAAAGATACTCTTACTTTAGAAATACGGGAACACCCAGAGGTGCTGACACGCTTCTACCTGCAGCTGCTTTCAATGTCTTCTATTGGTTTGAGAGAGCAAAGCTTAAGCACCTACTTATCGTTCTGCAGCTTGCCTGCCACCTTTTTTTTTTCCCCTTGGATTCCTATTATCCAGTATGATTTTTTTTATCCTGGTGATGGGCTAGTCGGAATACATTTCTGTGGAGCTAAGTAGCAGGTGTTGGCACTCCCTGGAAGTTTCTGATCTTTGCCAGGTTACACCAGCCCAGCATACAGGTGGGGATATTTACTTAAACTGATGCACACAGAATCTGGTGCAGCTTTGCATAGTAGCCAATCCGCTTCCAGGTTTTATTGTCAAAGCTTGAATAAACAAGCTGCAATTAGAAGCTGATTGGTTATTATGCGCAGCTGCACCAAATTATGTGTGCACACATTTTAGTAAATCCTCCCCACAGGATACTGAAAGCTGCTGCTGGTATATGCAGGTTCCTCTGGGTGTCTGCAATGTCATATCCAGGAGGGCTTGTGCAACTAAAACATTACTGTTTTTTTAGGGTAGAAAGACATTGTGAGATGATTAAAGTGTTACTAAACCCACAACAGTAAAATCAGTCTGTAAATGCAGTAAAGCATGCGTGTTATACTCACTGTGGAACCTAAGGGGTTAATCCTCCGCATTGTGTAAAAAGGCCATTTTGATGCTGTCTTTTCTGATCCTCCCTTTCTTCTACTGTCTCCAATCCATCTGCTGATAGTACAGAGCTTTGGGGCAAGCTGCATATGCTCAGTTTGATGTTAATTGTTAGGTGTTTTTTTTTTCTTTGGGTGGGTGCATGTGATCACAGGGTCAATCGGCACTGTCCAGACAGAGGGTCAAGGGTCCTGCAGCTTCATAGGCCAATCAGGAGAATGAAAACTCCTCCTACAAGCTTTAATCAGTGTTCTTTTGGACACTGATAGAATTCACAAGACTGCCCTAGCTGCCGATGAGAAAAGGTATGCAGCAGTTTATATTTACTTGCATTTCTATATTCTGTGTACTATGGGAAACCAGATATAGTGAATGCAGGGTCCTGGGTTTAGTAACACTTTAGGTGCTAAAAACTAGATTCTTTTCAGTATACAAAAGCTCTGTTTCAATTTGCCATCAGTGGAAATGGAGTGAAATCAGTGGAACCAACTATGTGAAGAATACAAGATTGCTTGCAGCTGTGTGTGTGTGTGTTCAAAACATTAACTGATTTAACTTTTTATTTTTATTTTTTATTTATAGAGGCCTTTCACCCCAGAACAAACCCGAATTACAAAAAGTAATGGAAAAGCGAAAACGGGATCAAGTTATTAAACAACAGAAGGAAGAAGCTGAACAGAAAAAGACAGACTTTGAGATAGAGCTTGAGAAGAGACATCAAAGGCTTGAGGAAGTGAGTGAATTATATACAGTTAGGTCCATATATATTTGAACACAGGCACAATTTTAGTTTTTTTCAGTTATTTACCAAAACATACTCAAGCTATAGTTATATAATAGATATTGGATGAAAGTGCACACTCTCAGGTTTAATTTGAGGGTATGTACATCCAAATTGGAGGAAGGGTTTAGGAATTACAGCTCTTAAGAGAAGCCATCCCCCCTTTTTCAAGGGACCAAAAGTAATTGGACATTTGAATCAAAAGCTGTTTCATGGCCAGGTGTGGACTACTTCTTTGTTATTTCTTCATCAATAAAGCAGGTAAAAGGTCTGGAGTTGATTCTAAGTGTGGTATTTGCATTTGGAATCTATTGCTGTGAACCTACATCATGCCTTCAAAGGAGCTGTCCATGAAAGTGAAACAGGCCACTGTAAGGCTTCAGAAACTAAACAAATCCTTCAGAGAGATAGCAGCAACATTTGGAGTGTCCAAAACAAGAGTTTTGTATATTCTGAGGAAAGAAGAAAGCACTGGTGAGCTCAGCAACATAAAAAGGCATGGACTTCCACGGAAGACAACAGTGGTGGATGATCACAGGATCCTCTCTATGGTAAAACCCATTCAAAATATCCAGACAAGTGAAGGACACTCTCCAGAATGTGGGCGTATCATTGTCAAAGTCTACAGTCAAGAGAAGACTTCACAAGAGCAAATACAGAGGGTTCACCACAAGGCGCAAACCATTCATAAGCCTGAAGAATAGAAAAGCCAGATTAGACTTTGCCAAAAAAAATCTAAAAAAGCCAGACCAGTTCTGGAAAAGTATTCTTTGGACAGATGAAAGTAAGATTATTCTGTACCAGAATGACTGGAAGAAAAAAGTGTAGAGAAGGCTTGGAACAGCTCACGATCCAAAGCACACAACGTCATATGTAAAACATGGTGGAGGCAGTGTGATGGCATAGGCAGCATGGCTTCCAGTGGTACTGGGTCATTGTTTATTGATGATGTGACAGAAGAAAGAAGATGCCAGATGAATTCTGCAATGTCTGGAGACATACTGTCAACCCAGATTCAGCCACATTTTGCAAAGTTGATTGGACGGCGCTTCGCAGTGCAGATGGACTGTAAGGTATGACTGGTGCATAGAAATGCATGTGCGCGCATCATCACGCATAGAAGTGAGCACAGGCGCATTGCTAATAAAAATAAGCACAGGCTCGCGCATGCGCGAAAGAATGCGGGTGCACGCACGCAGGAGCATGCCCATAGTTTCTGGCGCCAGATGGACTATTTAAAAGAGGCTCTTACTCTTTGTCAGTGCTGACTGGTCTTCAGTTTATTCCCTGTGTCCTGCTGTATCCTGTGTGTTATCAGTTACTGACCCAGCTTGCCATTGACCTGCTCTTGGATTCTGTTTATGCTCTGCTCATCGTTTCTGATCCTGGCTTCCTCCTGACCCTGTCTGGTGTTCCTGTACCTCATCGCCTGCTCGTTGCTGACCCTGGCTATTACTCTAACTATGCTTCTGGCTCCAGTTTGGCTTTACAGTCCTGCCGAGTGCTTGTCCTGGCTATCTATCAGCTCCGGTTGTCACGGCGTGTTCCGGCCTCATGCTTATCAGAAGTTCCGGCAAGCCACGTACCCCGATCTTGCAGTTCCAATGGAGTGCTTCCTTAACCTCAGCTGGCCGTTCCGGCATCTCCTCTGTTCCTGACCGGATGCCCTGCTTGATTTACCGAGGGCTCACCTCCAGCCGCAAGTTCTGCAATCAACATCCACAGGCACTCGTGTTTCTCCTGTCCCTCGACACCATCTGTTCCACCTTCAGTGGGGCCTGGGTTGGAGATACAACAGAGGCTGACCTCATCAATTCAGACTTCTATCAGGTACATGACATGGACACTGATCAAAAACACACTGCAAAAGCAACCCAGGATCTTTTGAAGGAAAACAAGTGGAATATTCTGCAATGACCAAGTCAATCACCTGACCTCAACGCAACTGAGCATGCATTTCACTTGCTGAAGGCAAAACTAAAGGCAGAAATGCCCACAAACAAAGAACTGAAGATTGCTGCAGTTAGAGCCTGGCAAAGCACCAGAAAGGAGGAAACCCAGACTTTGGTAATGTCCATGGGTTCCAGACTTCAGGCGGTCATCGCCAGTAAGGGTTCTCAACAAAATATTAAAAAATGAACGTTTTATTTATTAATATATTCAATTGTCCAGTTACTTTTGGTCTCTTGAAAAAGAGGGTTGGCTATTCTTAAGAGCAGTAATTCCTAAACCCTTCCTCCAATTTGGATGTACATACCCTCAAATTAAACCTGAGCGTGTGCTCTTTCAGCCCATATCCAATATATAACTATAGCTTCAATATGTTTTGGTAAATACCTGAAAAAAACTAAAATTGTGCCTGTGTAAAAAAAGGTATATGGACCTAAGAGTATTTCAAGCTCAACTCTGAGCACAAAAATGTTCATTAAACATAGTCTTCGGTAGCAGCAAAATGCCTTTGAAAATAGTTATTACCTTGTAAAAGTAGAAGTGCATCACCACTATGCTGTACATATCCTATGCATAGAGCAGAGCTGTGGGAGGGACTAACCACTACAGGCAGCCTTCAGAAGACAGAAAGGGTGGATACAAGACCAGTCACCCTGCAAAAAGAAGGGATGCATTAGTGACTGATCTTTATTGCAGAAAGGTCCTACATAAAGCAAACTTTCATTCTGGATCACTGCACAGATCTGCATGCAATACACAAAAGCACACAAGATTAGGTAAGAATACACACAGGTAAGAATACACACAGGTAAGAATACACACAGGTAAGAATACACACAAGTAAGAATACACATACACAAATTTTTTTTTTTTCATTTAGACAATATTTGCTAATCCCGGAATTCAGCTTTATAGCCAAAATTGCCTATCAAAAATTTTCCAGCAGCCTCTTTTACATGTCGTCTAGCTCATTTTTGTTGATTGAACACTGCTTGCAGAGCATGCATAATGCAGTGTACAATCCCATACCCATTCCTGAGGATGATGCCAGGTGCAAGGATAATGTAACTCCAGCTTGCATGCTGGAGAGGGAATACCTATATTCCTTCTCATTGGGTAAACCTTTAGTGTATTCTATGCAAGACTCCTATAGTCTTTTGGAATGGGCTACCAGTTACTGGTTACTTTCCCGCCTTCAGGGCCAAGCCGCCATCTGCCATCCCACAGCCTAATAAAAAATATTTGTGCCACGACTTGGAATCCATCAGTTCCTCAGTGATTGAAAGTCATCCAGGCACTGAGGTAGCAAAGTATCCGACACCGTTAATTCTCTTTACTAAGCTTTACACTTAGGAAGTATTTTTTAGTGCTGTCATACAGTACTTTCTTTCTCTAAACAATGGTTTGTCATCTAAGTTCTCATTTTTTAATCGTTTTCCTTTGTCATGCAGATGGAAATGGAAAAACACAAGATTGAGGAAGAACAGGAAAACAAGCCTGAGTTTCTCAAAGTTAAAGGCAACCTCAGGAGAATGAATCAGGAAATATCCAGTGCCAACAATTCATAGACACCAGCATGTCAAGGGCATTGTTTGCTATAGAAAGATATTTTTACTGGACTGGAGATGAACATTTTGTTGGAGATTTGCCTTAATGGACAATTTCAGGTTGAATTTTCACCATTGATGCAATTAAGGCCTGATATAACAGAGGCATCTTTCAAGAGCCAAGATAAGACTGTTAAATTACAGTATCTGGATTCAGAGCTGTCTGCTGACAAAGTGGCCTTTCTGTTTTGTTTCTTTTATTGGGTTGACACATATTTTGGTTAGTCGATGCATTGATGCCGTGCAGGTCCTGTGCAACCCCTTTTGTTTTTAAGCTATTTTGCAGGGTAATATGATATTAGACTGAATTAATATACCGGTAGTTGCTTTTTTATGTTCATTGGGAAGATGAGAGAGAATTCTCTGGTGTTGTTTTTTAACACCCTTCCATGTCCTTTTGAAGTGCTGGAATAAAAAACTAGGATCTAGGTAGTTCTGCTACACTGGTTTCGTGCTGGAGGAGTAGGCATGGTGGACCGATAACAATGACATAGGACTAGTGATACAGTATGCCTGAACTGCAAATACAGATGCCCAGAAGGTACATCTTATTTAAAAAAAAAAAAACTGTAATATTTTTTAAAGGTTACCTTAAACAATTGAAGGGCATCTGTATATACTTTTTAATTAAAATTCAGTTAATTTAGCTGTTTTAAGTCTTTGTTGGATTAATTTTTTCTTTTTGATAAAACTTGTGGGATAGTGAGACTGTGTTACTTCCCATAAGGCTGAGCCAAACATTTTCAGTAGCAGGTAGAAATCAGCTTTGGGTAAAGCCTTCAGTTCTCCCAAGAGTTTTCAGCATGTCAAGCATTCGTTCTTGATACAGATTTGTATTTGTTTCTGGTTCTGCGTTGTATCAAGAATACACCTTTCTTCTATTAAAATAACCAAAATATTTTCTTAACCTAAAGCTGTGACTTGAACATCATTTAGTTTGCTGACAGGATTGGTGACATCAGTAATTTGCCTTTTTTGTTCATGCATTTAGGTGTAAAAACACCAAGAAGTCAGATTAGTCTTTCTATTGCATTTTTGAATGGTAGGCGAAATCCCAGAGTCATTTGACCAGATCAGTGGAAGTCACATGTTTGGCAAATTCAGTTTGTTCTTGACGTTTTCTTAAAGTGTGAAAAAGTCTTACAATATGCTGTCACACACTCACCTGTGTCATCATTATTCTGCCTTTCAAATGAAAAAAGTATTAATATATTGGTTGACCAGTTTTTATGTGTGGGCAGCTTTGAATAACAACTTCTCCATTGATTATCAGTCAGTAATGGTGGTAAAATGGTGCACCATTTATCCAAAATAGAAACAAAGAGATCAATTTGATAGAGTATTATAAGTGCAGTATCCTGTAGCAACCAGTTGGAATTCAGTCTGCTCAGAACAGTATAAGTTGGGTTAAGGGAGCTTGCTTTTGTACTGCAGATAAGAACTCTTTGTTGAATAAGGCTGTTTTTGTACAGGCATGGTGTCTCTCCCATCAAGGTTTCATTTAAATAATGGTCTAAATCAGGGGTCTCCAAACCTTTGAAACAAGTGGCCAGTTTACTGCCTTTCATATATTAGGGGGCCAGACTGTGGCCAGTGATAGTTGAAAATGCCCTTGCATTGGTGGGAGTAAACAACGCTTGGTGTTCAGTGGGAGTAAAAAAAAAAAATTACATCTCTTGTGTCATTTGGAGGAATTGTGCCCTGCCACTGGTGTCAGTTGGAGGAATAGAATCCCCATCATTGTTATCAGTGAGAGGGATAGTGCTCCTTTATTGGTATCTGTGGGATGAATAATGCCCATCATTAGTATCAGTGGGAAAAATAGTGCCTCATCATTGGTGTCAGTGGGAGGCGCAGTGTCCCATCATTGGTTTCAGTGGGAGGTGTAGTGTCCCATCATTGGGAACTTATTTCACAGAGTTTGATAAATGAAAATGTCTCAACAATACTGTCATAAAAAAATGGATACTGCATTTTTATGACACCAATAAATACACATGTTATTGCAGAAAGGAACTCTGAGTGGCTTTAGCAAAGATAACTTTTGACCAGCAGTTCTAGTAAAGCAGGGAGGGAAATTCTGTAAGGCTGTCAGAATATACAGTAGGTCATTTGCAAATGGCAGTGATCAGAACCTGTCTTCAGTTTTTTTTAAGCCACATCAGTTTTACATTCTGATTGGTCACTGCACTTTGTTTATTGCTCTTTCCTTTCCTGAATAAATATCTATGGGGTGGGATGTAATAATGAATAAACTTCTGCAAATAATTTTGGGGAAATCCAATAATATTGCTAAATGTTAACACAGTGGTTGAAAATTCTTATTTGGTTAGGGATGTGTTTACTTATCCTTGTAAACTTGAACATTCTCAGTTAAGCTACTGGCAATCTGTGAGAAGATAGTTCTATAAACTGGCACCACACTCCACAATTTCATGTGCCATAATTGTCCATGTAGATGTACTAATTCCTCTTAGGTCCATGGTATGTTTAGTATTTCCTGTAACTTACTGTGCCATCTTTATGTCTATGGTAAAGAAGTCAGTGAAACCAGATTTTAAAGAACTGCAAAAAATAAAATTAGTTTGGCAATGTTCTCAAAAGTTCATTTTGTACTTCATCTTCTAAATTGGCCTTATAATACTATGCCTGTTTTGTGTGTCAAATGTTGTATTTATTATTGCTAGGTCATTACTGAATTTAAAGGGCAGTGTCTGATTAACTGACTTAATATTTTGGCTTGTTTATTGTACAGTTTCATTAAAGTTTACTCGTGCTACAGAGTGATCTCAAGTTACCCCATGTAATACTTTATCAAATACTCTTAGAAAATGAAAGACAGGAAAAGTAAAGTTATTGTAAACATATTTTTAATAACAAACACATTACAATTACCTGCCCGATCCTCTTCTTCTGGGGTCCTCCGCCAGCACTGCAATCCGCTTGCTATGGAGACACTTGTGCGGCTTTATCTCAAGCCACACTGTGTGTCTCCATAGACACACACAGTGCAGCTCGGACCCTGCCCACCCCCAGCTCTCTCTTCACAGGCTGTGATTGACGGCAGCAGGATCCAGTGGCTCCTGCTGCTGCCTCCATGGCCAATGAGGAGATACAGCAGAGAGTGAGCCGCTGCTCTTAGGCACAGCACTGGATTAAGGTTAGGTAAGTATAAGGGCTTGTTGGGGGGGGGGGGGGGGGGGGGGGGCACTGCACACAGAAGGTTTTTTTACCTTAATGCAGAAAATGCATTAAGGTAAAAAACCTTCTACCTTTACAGCCATTTGAAATACTTACATTTCTGTGAATTTCTCCATCCATTGAGGTCTCCATGTTGTATAAAGCCCAGCTGGGTAACGCTGAGAAAAGATATTCTTTAACACTTTTTTTCTGGCTTTCCTTGGACAGTAATGCACAGCTAGTCTTACCCAATTGGAGTAATGCAGGATACCCTAAAGGTATCTGAAAGGAATTGGCGTGCACCATTGACAATCACTGTGTAGTGTCTGCATATTTATCATGCAGTATGGAAAGGCACTGAGAAGATCTAATCTATATAAAAAAAATATAAATCAAAAAGGATCTTCTTAAAAATGGAAGTGAATATGGCATAGGTAATCCTATCCTTTTGGGTGCTTTGGAGCAAATTCTTTTTTGTGGCACTTTGACAAACAAAGCCTATTTATAAGATGGCTATCTTAAGCAAATGAAACCTCTTGGTTATAGGACTTGACCATTAATTGGAACAAGGATATAGTAGCTGGGAGCTGCCATTGTCCTCTTTTTGGAGGATGCATGTTCCAGGGATGTCATTCTGGGTCAGTAACTTGCTTAGGGTAAGGATGACCACCCTGGACCATGAATCTTTTAATATAAGGCAATGGCAGCTCCCATATTTATATCCTGACAGATTCCCTTTATTGTGTTAGACCAAATCAAAATTAATTTGCATTAGACGGTAACTGCTTTTTTTTCTACTTGAGCTATTTGAAAATAGGGCCTGATCTTCTACAACATTCATACAGCTTTAGTTCATAATCTTGTCGAAAGATTAGTTAATATAAGTACTATCCTGCTATTAAACGAGAACATTGTTTGGCTATACTTTTCCTTTTGGTCAAAGTAGTACATTTACTAACATACTCCTCTTTTTGGTTACAGGAATACGTTTACTACTGTACTCCTGTGACCAAAGTCAGTCCATAGTGGGCTACTGAAGGCTAGCAGCTGAACAGGGCAGAGATGAGCCGTAGTTTAAGAAGGATCCTGAAAATATTGTCGGATCCACACAGTCTGTCTAATTGACAGCAAACAGAGTGAGCAGTGCCCACCCACCACCCTGTCTGTGGCCCCAGTCAACCCTGGAGTAGCAGAGAGGAAGGTGAAAGCCCACCAGTGGCACTGTTGAAAGCAAAGACAGAGCTGTCTAAACAGCAATCATGTGATTGGTCAGCTTTCAGTCTTAAAATAGCTGGTGTGTCAAGAGGACTCTGCAGCAGAGTGGTAAGTATGTTTAATTTTTTTATGACCCCCATACCTCTCTTTTTAATCAGTGCACAGACTCATGACTAGGTTTATGCCTGTTAGTGAATAAGGCTGTGCTAAAAGATAGACATACGTTTCCTTTGCTGAGTTAATTTTGCTTACAGGTTTGCCATGGCCATCATACTGATGTAGTGGCTTAAATTTTTTGTGTCACTGACCCAGATAAAGTATACAGCAAGAGCAGTCAGACGTCCATGCTTGTTCTGGGTCTTTAACACAGAATGTACTTGCATAGGAGCATCAGCCAGCTATCTTGCATATTAAGGAGGTGTTAGGAGTGGCAGCCTACATATTTCTCATATTTCTTATAATGAAGCACTGCCCTTAAAAAGTGTCTCTTGCCAAGTACTTGAAGATACACAAACTATTTCTAAAACTTGCAAGATCACATTTTTAACTTTTTTTTTTTTTAACCT